CATCATCAGCATCATCATGGTCATCAGCCTCTCCTGCCAATCCACTTCGGCCACCGTCCTCGGGCTCGGCCAATCCGGCGCCTCGCAGGCGGTCTCCCACCCCGGCGACTCGGACGCCAAGTGGGCCGCAATCGCCGGTTCCGCCTCCACCTCCGCCTCCACCACCCTCAAGGCGCCGGTGGAGACGAGGCTGCGCGAAAGTCGCTACGGCGTTCCGTTGACATGGCGCGCCGGCGATCTGGGACATGTCGACTCGTGGAGCTACATGGACGCCTATCTCGGCGACCATCCTCACATGCATCCGGTGCCCATCTTCATTTCGGTACCACAAGTCGGCTCCGCCAACCAGAACACGCCCACCACCCCCGCCCCCGACGACACCTCCCCACTCACCATGCCGACTGGCCAATCGCCCGCCCAACTAACACACTCGGCCTATTCACCATTCTTCTCCTACCCCCACCTCCAGTCCTATCCACACTCCTACCTCCAGACATACCCCCACCCCCACCCACAGACATACCCCAAACCCTACTTCTACCCCTGGCCAGTCTACCCCACGCCCAACAATCCCCTCGGCGCCCGGCTCATGCAGCCTGTCCTCCCACCGTCTCCGGCCGGTTCGAGCCAATCGGCTGCCGCCTATCAACTCGGCGTATACGGTCTCCAGGGCGACAATAACAATCCGATTCGCTACCAGAACGACCAGGTCGGACAGAACATGTCCTAGATCAGCTGGCATAAGTGACGTCGGTCTCGGGGCTGTGGAGCTGGTGAAGAGAGTCGGAGAGCGATCTACTTCTACACATCAAGAGAGAGACAGGGTGTGAGAGAGGGAGAGAGAGAGAGAAAGCTGACGACAAGTGGACAAAAAGAAGAAGAGGAGGAAGAAGAAGAAGAAGAAGAAGACAGACCGAGCAGTGGAAAGGAGAAGGAGGAGCAGGATTAGAGCAAACGGTGTCACCAAAATCCTCATTCATGCATTGCAGACTAACATTTCACAATTTTTTTCAATGTTAACCCAATTCACTTGCCCCAAAGCCAGAATTTTAACGAATCAGCTTGTCTGCTGCTTTTGTGAAACGGAAGAGCGCTTAAGAGGCCAACATGTGGTGACCTTCGAAAGTGACTTTTACGTGGTACCACGTGGTGCCGTCTTGCGTGAATGTGAACTGGGCACATTTTAACCTTTGACCTCTTCGTCCAGCATGACTTTGCAGCACTATGCCTGCCAATGGGACCATCCGCCTAGGGCAGACTGGTCACCATGGCAACGGGACTCCGATCTCTGAGTGCCTGGGAGTGCGGGAATCGTTTAGGGGTTGGTTCTTCACTTCTCGACCAATAAGAATGTCTGGACACGACTTATTCTCTTGAGGCATGGAAGGTGTGATTAGTTGTTGTGCTGACTTTCTGACAAACCGAAAATGCTTCAGCCTCAGGCCTCATGGCTGAAGCAAATATACGCGGAAACTTAGAAAATGGTCCAGTTTAACGAATAATCATTTAAAAATCGTCCCATGAACCTTAACAATACACGCTTTTTAGTGAGAAGCAGAGTAAACGATCAAAGGTCCTTCGACAGCTTGACTCTAGAATAGTTAAGGCTTCAGAAGTTGCAGTAAATGCGTCAAAAATGAGTAATCCTTCAGGAACTAAGGCACTTATTCACTTCAC